ATAATACAGGTGGTCCGGTTACTTGATAATACATGATTTTTAAAATACATCTACTGGCAGGTTACTGGAGGTCCAGAGATACAAACAACTGTACAAACATTACACACAAGTTTATATACTGAATGGAAAACACTTATTTCCATACATCTACTCTACACAAGACAAAAAGTATGCTATAGTTAATACCAGTGTTAAATATTCAAAAAGGAGGTATCCTCAGAGATTTAATCAGATTGTGGATCCAAGACATGCTGTGAGGACAGAAGACAAACTTTACTGATAGTTATTTGTGCGTAAGAAATAAAATCTGCCCAGACAACTTTCTCAATTGTCACTTATGGTTACACATCATCTGTCATTGTTGGGTCCGACCACTAGGGGTCAGCACTCAGACCTTTTTTGGTCCTGGCCTGGCGGACTTCATCCATCAGCTCTTTGAGGTACTCGATCTCCCTGGCCATGGACTCAGCCTTCTCCCTCAGCTCCATGTTCTTCCTCTCCAGGTGTGTGTGCTCCTCCAGAAGGGACTCCTGCTCTGCTTTCTTCTTCTGCCTGTAACGCGTGGCAGCCGTCTTATTCTGCTCCATCTTCTTCAGTTTCTTCGCCTTCGGTGCCTTGAAAGATGCCCTTTCCTCTCCATCTGCACCCCGCAGGGACTTGACTTTGACACTGGTGGCACTGGTAGATGGTGGACTAGGTTTAAATGCAGGCTCAGGGTACGGTCTACTTCTGGAAGACTTCTGTGGAGGGGAGGCGGGAGGGGAATGAATGATCTGTGGCGTGGTGGTTACAGTGGTAGTGGTGATACCAATTTCATCTTTGGGAGCCAGCACAAGGACGATGCGGGTGGGGGAAAGGGAGAGCACGAGTCTGGGGACAGGAGGGACGACAGAGGCTACCACCGGCTTCACCTCGCTCTCTGAGACGTCCACTTCGCTGCCCAGGTCCAGGGTGTAAGCTGGGGAGGCGGGAGAATGGACCTCGGGGGAAGGTGGGTCTGGAGAGGCAGGCTCAGATTTGATTTCCAGCTCCTGCTGTGGCTCTGGGACACACATGGGAAGGCAGGGAACATCCTGGTCATCAATGCAGGATTCGAGTTCATCAACTGGAATGACTGAAGGAACTGAACAGACAGTGGGAGGAGTAGAGGGAGGGGGAGGTATGCTTGGACGAGTAACAGAGGGAGGACTGGAGAGCACAGGAGTTGAGAGAGCGGACATTGGGAGGGAGTCGAGCTCCATGGGGCAATCCAGGGAGGCTAGGAGGTCTTCTGGAGAGCTGGGGGACTCTTCAGCAGAATCGCAGCCAATCAGGGAGTCCAGGTCAAACTCGCTCAGATCCACCTTCTCAGCCATCCAGTCCAGGTCACCAAACACATCCTCTGTGGAGGCAAATGAGGCAGCATATTCATCAGTCTGTCTACACTGAGAGATGGTGCTCTGTTAAAAAAAGTGATTCAATTTTTACTTTACACCATCATTACCTTTGACGTCATCTGAGACTGCCTGTCTCAGGTGACCAGGGTGGCCCATCCAGGGGAGGGAGAGCAGGTCAGACTCCGTCCCAGCTTTGTCCCCCTGGAGGAGGACGGCCGACGGCGAGGGAGGAGGAGAGTAGAAGGGAGGAGGAGAGGAGGAAGAGGACAGCGATGAGGAGGTGAGGGGCGACACGGGCGAGGTGTCCCCCTCCAACGAGGTCCCTCCTCCTTCCTGTTGATCTCCTTGGTCAGGGCGTGAAGATAGGAGGCTCATGGCGTCAGCCGTGGGAGAGAAAGGTCCCCAGAGAAGGGCCTCCATGTCTTCCAGGCCAAACTGTGAGCTTGTCATCGTCATGGTCATAGTGGCTGTTGTTGGTCACAAACGGTGCGCGTGACGGTAGGAAGGTATCGAAATCTTTTATGCTGTCGAAAGCAGCAGTGGTGAGGGTTTCCACAAAGGACCTGAGGGGGAAAGAGGGCATTGGTGGTGAAAATCTGAACATCAATGTAATACAAATATTCTTTAATTAGTAAAACCCATTGAAATATTTCATAATTAAGACTTTAAATGTGTGTGCTGTTTGCAAAAAGACATGTGTGGATAAATTATAAATATACAATATATTTTTTAATGATGATTTTGCGTTGGATGACAGTAACAGTCTCAAAAGGAAGTCACATTGTGGCCCAACACTGCCCCCATCACTGCAGTGCTCCTGCTGCACATCACGTGTTCCCACCCAGCTACCAGTCTTGTGACTCTGCTGACGTCACTGTCTCTAGACAGGGTCACGGAGTACGTCACCTCCCCTTTTATAAACAGCTACACTTTTGTTCTCAGTCTGCCGAAGCGACGCCGCCATTTTGACAAAAGGAGGAAACGAACCATTTTCTGGCTGCCACGTTGACACTCATGACAATAACACAGATGTTTTACACAAATACAAACAACTCGGTCCTTCACGATAAAATTAGCTCAAATTGTCTCGGTATATTGAATAAAACACAAAATATTGACATTTCATTTTTAAGTCAGATGTTGCGTCATCTCAGTAGCTGATTCTGTATTTAAATAGTATGACAACGTCACTTTATTAAACTATTCCACGACACATAAAATCAAATGTAAATGTCAAATTAATTTTAACTGGGATTTCACGCGGTGCCGCTTCGTCCTCGCGGACACGTCAGGCTGCCGAGGCGCCCAGCCATCGTAGGCCTGACAGCTGTCATCGACAAAACGTTATAAAAATTAATACTTACGACATGTTTCTGAATATGAAGTGACTCAGTGCACTGGCGGGATGCACTGTTTTGTTGGCGGCTAGGTCGCGGCACACTTTTACACTGCCATTTCGGCCAAAAGAGCGATGTTCAACAAATGCTGCCTCTTGTGTCGCTGTGCCTCTGGAAGGAAAATGGCGCACGTTGTGGCGCGGTGATAATATAGTTAAAGCTCAGAGTGGAGGTATCCTTCCGCGGCGGCCACCATATCACTCCACCTATGTTTGTGTTCCACATTCCATGCATAGTTGACTGTCCTCCTAAGAAAGTAGTCACTGTACCTGGTGTTATTCTGATTATTTTGATGATGAGAGTGATTTCTATTTATTAATTCTGAGGTTTTATAACAATCACAACAACAATCTTGAAGTATTGATGTAGGAAAATCAGTTAATGCAGTGCTGGACCTAGCACATTTGGCACCCTGGGCAAATAGTAGTATCTTTGATTATATCTTTAATTTTTATTTCATTTATGACTGACAAGCAGAGGTATGTGCAGACATACTGGATATACTTACCCTTTGTCTGGCTGTTTACAGTGTATCCGCCTATAAGCCAAAAAGACATTGGATGAGTGTCCAAGGGTTGAGTCCTAAGACCTGGAAATGAGTTGGCATTTTGCAACCCACCCTCCCTGAAATAAAGTCTGTGGTTAAGACAAGCTGAAGAGACTCACGTTTTGCTCTACAACGTATAATACATCAATAAATGCTCCACCAGTGAAATTTGAAGCTTATGGGCTGAACAGGACATTGTCACCTGCAGTGCATCCACGATTCTCATGCATAGTTAGTCTACACTGCTATTTATCTATATTCATATCCATTATAACCGGTCATTTATTCCATTGTGCACTTTAAATACCAGACGCCTCTTAGTCCAGGGCTCCTTACATTCTAAGTGTGCTTTTATTTATCTGTATGTACACATGTATGTACATATGTACGTACACATGTATGTACATATGTACATATATACATATANCTTGTATGTGTGGTATGTATATATTTTTTTATCGTTGGAGTGTTTATATATGTGAGTGTATGATGGCACCTTGGGGCTGGGAAAAAGCGCAATTTCGTTCCCATGTACTTTGTGTGTGGAAATGACAATACACTTGAACTTGAACAGAACATCATCACACCATGCCGCACCACGCCAAACATGGCTTTACAATCTTGTTATGGCGGTGACGTTAGGTCATGCGACCATAATGTAGTTTGATTATAGCCTGATGTCAGCTTTTTACTTTTGGCAATTGCATTCAGACTTTAATAATCATGACAGTGGTGTTAATTTGTGAAGCTTATTTGCTGAACAAAACATGTCAGTATCATAAATATTTGTTTGCCCCAGAGCCTATAGTCCAAAATGAAAAACTCCTTGGGCTTTTTGATGAAGAAACCAGGGCGATGCTAGCTTCTGCATCGGTCTGCATAAACATGTCATCCCTGGAACAATGTGTGCTATGTTACTACTTAACTCACCAGCAAGCTTGAAAGTAAAAGTCAACCCCAGATTCAGTCTTGCTTGGCATTTCGCCTTACTATATTTTGTTTTTCCGGCACTTAGATGCTTGCTGCTTATGGTCTGGCACCTGGTCGCTACTCTTCTACTGATGGTGCCTTCGTTTTGTACGCGGAAGTTGGAAATTCCCAGTTCCCAGTCGGAAGTTTAAACTCGAACGCACCCTGAGATTGGATTTCCAACTCGGAAACTCGGAGCAACCACATCAACCCTGACTTACGAATTCAAGATGGCTGCCGGTCACATACATAGTGAGTAAACACTCTGCTAAAGCACTGTTTATAGCAGTTTTATCTTATTTGTTTTACATTAGGTCAGCCTCATCTGCGGCGTTCATCAGTCAGAGGGCATGATAGTTTTGAAGCTGTCTATACTCCGAAAGTGCAAGGGCAACAAAGGCTTTCTTGCGGGTGTCCTTGCTTTTTTCTGACTTGTCCACCTTTGCCAACTAGAATGCAAAAACTGTTGTCAACTCGGAGGTGACGTCATTCCGACTTCCGACCACCGAGTACAAAACAAACACACCATAAGCCCCAACCTCTCCTGACACGCCCGTAAATGTCCCAAGCACAGAAAATTAGAAAATACTATACATAAGCGATGATTTTGAGAGATTATCTGTGTATGAGTACACTTTCTTTTTTAGAAAAACAAATCCTTCATAGTATGTCTTTAAATACTGGCTTTAATAAATTGCACATTAGCCTCGGTTTTACAAATATAAAATGTTTATTAAAATATAAGAGGTGAATAAAGTATTTGATCTTCAGTTAAGACATTGTTAAACATAGTTCTTTCTCTCATTCACACACACAGACACACAGTCACATACAAACACACTCAAACCACCAAAAGTTCTTCTAATCAACCGAACAGTTCCCACATATGACTGAGGTGATCCAGCTCATCCTGCAGATTTTTCGCCAGCAAGCGAATTCTACCAGAAAACCTGCTTTTATTCGACTTCTTCAGGTGCTGGTCATCCTTCTCTGAAAAATACTGATCCATTTCCTTGATAAAAGCCATGAGCAGTCTCTCAGATGCCATCCCAGCTCCATGTGCAACAGGAGTCCGCCTATCATTGCTCATGGTTGTTCTAAACACAGACTGCGACAGATGTGCCATCTTCACTGCATCCGGCTGCGCCCCCGCCCTCTGTATCCTGGCAATGTCGTGCCGCCGCAGCTCATTCATCCCAGACAGGATAAAATCCAGACAGTGCTCCGGGTCAACAATACAACCTTTATAGTCGTATACGAGTTTCTCAACTGCCATCCTGTTCACCATGTTCTTTTTGGCCTTTGCAGTGTGGGCGCCGATGCCCCCAGCGGACGCCACCATACCAGCGCCAACAGCTGTAGCGATCAGCGAGGTACCAAAGGTCACAGGAGCCAAGGCGATACCCAAAACTGCAGTCATCCCTCCAACAGCTCCTGTCGTGCCGCCAGCAATGTCCATGGTTTTGGTCTTCTTCTTTAACTTGTCCAGGTTGTTGGCAATGCAGTTGAACTCTGTGATGATGTTTCGCAGGCTTTCGCTGTGTTTCATCATGAGGCGGTTGTAGAGACGCAGGGCCTTTTTCACAGTTATGGCTCTCTGATTAAATGACCTGCAGAGAGACGACAATCATGTCTTTATCCAGCTCATTAAGTTAAATTTGATATCCTGAAATAGTTAAGCCTTTTACCTTCACCTGTCACATTTCAAGCTACAGATGGTAACTTTTATATAAAATTAACTTAATTAACCTGAGGAGTCTCTAAAGCCCCGTTTCAACCGAGGAGTACGGTCAGGGCGTAAAATTAACACCCGCCAAGCGCCAATGGTGGGTAAAAAATGAGTTTGGCGTGTAAAACAAAAACACACACCCGCCAGTGGCCGATGGAAAATTTTGAATTGCATGTGGGATTTTTATGTGCTTCGACCATTTCTGCCAGCTGTGTCAGACTATTTTGACCCTTGCAGCTTATTGTACGTGTGCCGGGAACGCATGACGTCAGCAACTGGAGCAAGATGTGGCGACACGTTCCTGCCGTGAAGCCTCCGCCAGAAAAGAGGAAAAACGAAGATGAACATGTTGGACTTGGACAAGAAGAACAGACAGTTAAACAGAGTACAAATGTCGCATGGCATTTTATTGAAAAATGGAAACTAGACAAGGCTGGCCAGCCGCGGTCATGGCTGACCTACGACCCCCACACCAACACGATGAGCTGCAGCCTTTGCCACAAGCACGCCAAAGAAACACAGAGGACAGGGTTGGATTTTCCTAAAGTTGGATTTTCATACTAAAAACGTAAGGTAATTATTTTTAGTATGAAAATCAAGGCACGATTTTTTTATTTGGCTGGTGAAAAATATGTTTGGCTGGTAAATTTTTGGAGGTCACTAGCCAATGGCAGATAAGGTAAAAAGTTAATTTTACGCCCTGAGTACGGTACAGTTCAGTTCAGTTCAGTTCGGTACGCAATTTTCCACATTTCCACTGTGAAAAGTTGTGGATGGTACCAGTGGAACCGTTCCTTAGCGTCCCCATGTTTGGTCCCCCCTCTGTTAGGGTACCTAGCACACAGATCTGGTACTAAAAGGTGGAGCTGTGAACACTGCAGTCTGATTGGTCAGTAGAGGACGGTCACTCTGCTCAGGGCTGAGTTGTGTCTGGTTTTGAGGCTCATGTAACCACTGTTCATACTGTGGAGAGTTTTATTAGTAAACTGTAACTATAAAATGAAAGGATGTTTTGCTGCCTCTCACAGCAGCTGGAGTCTGAGATATAATTTAATCCACTGGGCAGACTGCCGGCAACTTTTAAGGTGGAACGTTAACTTGAAATGTTACTCAAAGCATGAGTTGATGACGTGAATCCATCAGCACACCTTAAATTTCATTATGACAGCTTTGACCATCGCTTTAGTTGGGGTTTTTTGTCTCTCTTGGATGACACAGGTTTTTAGTACTGAGTGGATCTTTAAACTTTTAAAAATATATATGTTCATTTCAATGGGATTATGTGAACTGCGTATATTCTAATCCTCGCTTGGAGAAAAAAAAGCACAGCGGAGCGTCATTCCGGTGGGCTGCCCGAATGCACAAACACGCTATTTCGTTCTGGAAATGTTGGCGTGCTACCCCGTTCTATGGACAGAACGTGTGTGTAGATATATATTGTAAACAGTAATAGTGCAGTGGTGCTGAGTGCAAATGTTACAGGGATGAAAATGGAATTATTAATAAAACAAGCTACTTTATATACATGAGTTACATACGTGGATACAACAGAATAGTGCATGTGTGCTTATATATTGATAGTGGTGTTAACATGGTAAAGGACAGTGAGTATTTGGAACTGATCCCCAGACAACTGTAGCTGTTCAAAACTGTGCATCTGATTTTCATAGATAGAAACTTCTAGAACAAAACTAATGGGCAGTTAACAAGAAGCAATTCATGTGATGGTTTCTGTGTAGTTACCTGATTTCCTCGTCTATACTGAGGCCATATACAGGTGGAGTCATGTAATCAGGTCCTGTTGGAGTCACAGCACAGACACAGATCAGACTAGGTAATGTACTTTGATTAATGGTAATGCTCTTTGTTACTGAGGACACTGACACATTATTGGCAGTCATTACAATGATGTTTGATGCTTCTATAGTCTTCAAAAAATTAGATAATATCTGTCTAGAGAACATTTTGTACTTACTTGACACTTTTTTCAACCATCTCAACATCCCGATGATGTCCTGAGGGAATCAGGTTATTTTGTTATTAGAAACTATCGCAGAAAGACAACAGATTTTACACATGAAACCTCCTCAAGCTTTGTACTTAATTAAAGAGTGTTAAATCACAGTTTATTTGGAGGTGAATGAGAGGGGCAGAGCTGTACCTCTGAGTCCTCCATGGTCTGTTGGCGAGAAGAGTAACAGCCAGTCTGGTAGCGGAGTGTTGGAGTCCCTAGTGTCTGGTTAAACAGACAGAGATTAATGAGTCCGAAATAAATGAAAGCACAACAGTGTCTACAGCTATGTGTGTGTGTGTGTGTGTGTGTGTGTGTGTGTGTGTGTGTGTAAACAGTGTGTCTCTCACCATCTGATCTCCGTCCTCTGGCAGAACGTCTAGGTAGGGACGGTGCTCTATCTCACTGTACAATGCCTCTGATAGTGTCCCTGTTGAAGGTGGGGCCGGTGGGGTGAATGAAGGTGGACGTGGTGGTCTCCCCTGTGACATACAGAGAAAATAAAGTTGTTTATCACCTCTCCTGCACAAAGATGCAACAATAACATTTCTGCAGAGAATTCTAGTAATAATAAACTAGTCCATACCCATTGGTAGCTGTGGCACCTTCTACCTATGCCAATCCTCAATGCCTATGTGCAGTTTCACATAGATTGACCACGTCAGTGAGTAGAAAAACGTGGGGCAGACAGAATGACTGACTGACAGTTTCCGTGATTATGTACAGCATACCATACCATGACTTAGTCATACCAACAATTAGAAAAACTACAACATTGGTCCACAGGGGGAGCCACAGCGATCGGTCGCATTTTAGCCATTTGTAAGCATTTTTCTGTTGTTATAGCGCCACCCAGTTGACAATTAGAGTTAAATTTCTCCAGTCACCTTGAGGCGTCCTGTTCTACATATCTACCAAGTTTAGTAAAAATCCATATGGCGGTTAGGCCTAGATAAGAAATGAGCTCTCTAGCGCCCCCATTTTGTTTGATGGGGTCAATAATGGAGGGGTCCCCTCAGATTATGTGTGGTCAAATGCCTACAAAGTTGAGTGGTGATGGGTGAAACCCTTGAGATGTTATACACCTTTATGTGATGAGCCACGCCCTCCGCAATATTCATTGCCTTATAGAAGCTCAGTTTTAGTAAGTTTTCCAACTTTTGCCAAGAGGGAACTTTAGATATTGGTCCCTAGATTATGTTCACCCAGTTTCAAGCAGATCGCTCAAACTTCCTAGGAAGAGATCGATTTGAAGTGTTTTTCAAAAAAATCAAAATGGCGGAAAATCTATATAAGCGGAAGTTATGGGTTCTTGAGGCAAATATGTTCATCATGAGAAGAGGCATCTCTGTGCAAAGATTAAAGTCTCTACGACATACGGGGCATGAGATATGCCCATTCAAAGTCTGCAATTTCAATCGGTTGCTATAGCGCCCCCCTTTGGCCAAAGTAAGTTAAAAGTACTGGTGTAGAGACGACTCTGTTGCTGCTTTTTCTTAGATTTTTACAGGTCATTTACGAGTTAACATGTGGCGGATAACTTGAAACTTTCAGCATTCAACAATGCTGTGGTTAACATGTGGTCTGGTTTAGGCACAAAATTATGGTTAAGGAAAGATCATGTTTTGGCTTGAAAAGCAGTGACATCTTGGTGAAAAACAACGGCTTTTCATGCCTAAAAAAACGCTCAAAATACACCTCCGGGTCTCTAAAAAAAAACACCCATATTTGGGGTCTGAAAGCCGCTGGAAACACAGCAATGACTCACTAAATCAGTATTTGTTGGTCTGGAACACAGCCTGGCAGGTGTCTCGCCTCAGTGACACGCCATCCACCATTCCTTCCACCTTTTCAGATGACAAATTTGGATTATATTATGTCACTTTGAAAATGCTGATACGTATAAAAACATGCAAATGTAATGCATGCATGATTTGCAGGAAAGACTCATTCTCAGGTGAGTTTTTCTTTACAAAGTGAAATGGAGCTGATGATTAGACAACTGGCACCTGACAGGTGTCATAACAATATTCTGATTAAACAGCATCATTACTACACAGGTGTGCCTTAGGATCATCACATTAAAGGGCTACTCTAAAATGTGCAGTTTTATTTTGAATAAAATATATTTATGAGACACATGACTAGGGCTACACATGGGATTCAGTCGGTTATGACAACTGCATTCAGCTCAAGACCCTGACTGTTTGTGCAGAAATTCCTCACTTGAGAAACCGATGACTGTATCAGCTGTTCAGGTAGCTGGCCTCAGACTATATTGCAGGTGAAGATGCCAGATGTGGAGGTCCTGAGCTGGTGTGGTTACACATGGTCTAAGGTTGGTTGGATGTTCTGCCAAATTCTCAGAATCCACACTGGAGACAGCTTATGTCAGTGAAATAAACAGCTCTCGTGGACATTCCTGCAGCCAGCATGCCAATGGCACACTCCCTCATGACTTGCAACATCTGTGGCATGGTGTTGCTGACCAGCCCAAGGCACACCTGTGTGTAATTATGCTGTTAAATCTGCAGCGTGATATGCCACACCTGTCAGGTGGATGGATTGTCTTGTAAAAGGAGAAGTGCGCACAAACAGATTTTAACAAACAAAACAGTCATATTGGTTGTTGTGGTATCAGCTTGGTGCAGCAAACGTGGATGTCACTCTCTGTTGCGAGTACAAACAGCTCTGCATTTCACAGTCACTGAACAGCAAAAAAAAAAAATGCAGCAAAACATAGTGAAGCTTTACACATCTGATTTTCCATGACAGCCTGCCAAACGCATGTGTTTCCGCACCTATTGTTTCCTTTTTTTTTTGGCACCTGTCAAAGCGTGGTTCATCACCTGTAGTCTGCAGGGGTTCACATACCTCAGGAGGCGAGTAGGGGAGGGTGGACTGACAGAGTCGGGGTGGAACTACAGGTCTGTCTGCGGGCTGAAAATCAAAGGCATTCACAGTGTGGGGAAATACTCCAGGTAAATATCATCAAAACATTGAACATACTCCAACATTTGTTTTTTGTATTCATGCTGCTGATTGTTGAGTTGGAATATTAATTTATTACCCCAACTCATAGCAAACACTGAGTCCATAGTGCATACATTTTAGCTTGAAGTTTACCATTGCTCTGTAAATCCCGAAGAGGTTCCCCTCTTCTTCAGAGACATCTGCTGAGACTGGGGGTTGCTGCGTAGAGCTGACGTAGGAACATTTGGATGGCTGACTCTCATCAGTGTCGCTCTATCCAAGAAAAATATTAACAAGGCAAAAACATTATTAAACATATTTCACATTTTTAAACCAGGAACAGCTGATTCAAAGGTGAGCTTTTAATCTGTTAATAGTATACCGCATATACTGTATACAAGGCTTTTGGGACAACTCAGAAATGACTGTCAGTCACCTTCAGATGTGTCTTGAAGAAGTCTAACGTGTTGCAGAAAGGTTGGGATGAGGTGAAACATGTTCGCCCTTACCTCAGGTTTTAACTTCATTGTACAACGTGGTGAATCGTAATAGACGGAGGGCAGAGGGGGGCGTTCAGGCCGCCATCCAGGAGCAGGCTGTATCTTCTCAGCACTGACAGCTGGAGGCTAGCAGAGAAAATAAGAAGAAGGAAGTAAGTTATAGTCTCTCTAGTTGCCCCTTGTGTCATTCAGTGCTGATAGTGAATCACAACTGTTTGGAAGAGTTGAAAAAATGTATGTGAAGGGTTTAGTTGTGTCCAGCTTTAGATTCTAAAGGTCATTATTAAAAACACACACTCATTTATGTTGCTAAAAACATTATGATGTGAGCAAAATTTAAAGGAACATTTCAACATTTTGAGAAATGTGCTTACTCTCATATTTATCTGTTGGGGGAGACAGCGAGCCTGGCTCTGTCCAAGGAACAAAATCTGGCGACCAGGACCTGTAAAGCCCACTGCTTAATATGTTCTCATTTATCTGTCATGTATCTCATTTTGTTAATCCATACAAAAACCTAAGGGTAAAAATGGCACTTTGCAGGGGACTGACTATTTCTTGGCTGGAGGCAGTGACTCCCTGTAGTCCCTGCTGGTTGCCTGGCAACACAGTGACAAAAAAAGTCAAGAGTGATATAGACCAAACACTTCTGGGTAAACTTGCGATTGATTTGAATTGCAGAGATATGTGAATTTCTGTTCATTCTCAGCCATAACTGTAACGTTTAAAGATATGTAGTTAAACATGGCGGTCCGACCTACCTGACATTTACTGCTGTGTTTATTTTGTGTCCTGTGTTGCCTTACTGTACTGCTGCGGATAAGGTCTGCAGCAAAACAGATTTTAGCCACCAAAAACAATTAATATCAGTGTGAGTGTACACTATATTTGGAGTGTTTTCACCACTAATATCTTCTTCTCCTTCTTCTTCTTTGGTGTTTTACAGCAGTTGCCATCCTAATCTTTTATATTTTCTACAGTCTTCTGAAAAGTCCTGTAACTTTTAGAAACCTAAATATCACCTTTCTCCCCTCCACTGTGTCTCCACTCTCAAGCACATCCTTAATCCTAACCTCCCTTTGTCCTACCCTCTGTAGTCCTGCCATCATTGCCCTTCTTTCTTCCTCATATTTCCTGCAAGTAATACGAATATGCTCCACTGACTCCTTTAACTCTACACTGATTCAAAAAGTGTGCTATTCAAGTTGCTGTGACCTATTCTCAATCTGCTAATAATTACTTGCTCCTTCTTGCTGCCTGCCCTACATTTGACCCCCCCTTCTTTGTTTTGAACTACCCAGGAAATCCATCCTATGCCCATGAAACCGAGCTGCACCAATCACATCAGTGTATCTGATATAGGCGGGCCAGAGGCGAGCTAAACAGATGACGACAGCGCTGTGACGACGAAGTCCGGAATCAGTCAGTAAACACTGCAAGATGGCTACGGATGAACACCAGTTGTTTGAAACGGCTTTGGCCGCTACAATGAACGAGTTAGACTTGGCTTTTTCTCTAAAAGAGGAACAGAAGACAGCGCTCAAATCTTTCCTTTGCAAGAAGGACGTTTTTGCTGTTTAGCTACCAGTTAGCTCCGCTGGTAGCTAAACTCTGGATACGTCACCCTGTGTATTGTTCTGATTGGTCGTAGTATTATCCAATTGCGTGCAGTGATATTTTCAAATGCATGCTTGGTGCCGCCCCTCGAGTTGGGCCATTTGCATTACTCATAGCCAGACCCTAAATCTTTCTAGATTTGGGTCTGGATTTCCAGGCTAGTTTTGAACTTCATATAAATGCCTTCCTTTTGTCCCATTGTCCCAATACTGCTGCCACTGATTGACTATTTCCCAGCAAATAATGCTTTTCACCGCTAATACCTTACACACTAACCAACCAAGTGATCAAGGCAGCGGTACACCAGCAACTCCCATGTTCTGCAAAGTAAAATTACTGTTTTAGTCAATGGAATCTGGTGGCTCTGACATAATGGCTTGAGTCTTTGAGGAAAGGCTGACTGACAGCAAGTGAAAGTGTTGACAAAATTCTACATACAGTGTACACTTAAACTGATATTAATTTTTTTTAGGTGGGCTTAAAACAAACCGATCGATGCAGCGTTTGCTCAGTGGTGACTCATTATGTGTATGAAAATTGTGATTTGGACTATTCTCATCCGACTCTCAGCCAGAAAGCTCATATTTCCCAAAAATGTCCAATTATTCCTTTAAGATTAGTGATATAATAAGACATGTTTGAAGCAGTAAAATGAAGTTTGTTAGTTTGTGTGAAATATCATATATCATATATTCTCACAGTTGGCTCAGGAATTGAAGTTATGTAGTGATTGCCTCCGTCGACTGCTGCTGTGGGTTTACTGAGGGTCATACATTTGCTCAGTGGTGGTCTGGGAGGAGGACGGACAGGGCGAGGCGTCTTGTGGTCTTCAGGATATCCATTGGGCTGGGGACTCTGACGACAGAAGGATGTGAAAACATTAATAATGATTGAAAAAATACGTACGATCATGAGTGAATCTGACAACATCACTCACCACTGCATCGGTTGTATTGCTGGTTGTGTCTGCAGAGTCGTCAGTGATGCTATTGTTGGTTAACTGGGACGTTAGTAGTGTTTTAGATCGCGGACGAGGTACAGGCTTGACTTGAACATCTGTCTGCTTTTCAACTGTGACGGCAGGCTGACAGTAGAAAAAACAAGAAGTGAATCAACATTTCCAGTGATGCATAACAGCAGCAGCTAACCAGTAAACACGACAGCTATACCTAAAACTTTAAGGTCAGGCTCAAGGATTTCTATGTTTACACCACTCTGAGTGTCTCCAGCTCATCTGAAGATAAAATGAGGTGATATCATGCAAATACCAGCATTCATCAATTCATACTTTCAGATGGACCACTGATAGAGGAACTCATGTTTACCGTTGGTGCATCCAGGCCTTCGTAGGTTGGCTGCACGACTTCATAGGAGCTGGTGATGGCAGACTGGGTGGAGTACTTCGTCCTGGGGGGTTTGGGAGGCTGTGGGGTTAAATAGTGACAGAAATTAATTAGTTAATTTGTTTTTAATTGCCCAACATATCACACAGTTATGGAGGTTAAGTTAGAAAAATAAAGTTACATAAGTTAGGTTTAGGAAAGGAAGCGTGGTAACTATACATCTTAAAATAACTCAAGTTTCACACAGGAAACTATCAGCAGTCTCCCGGGGGAAAGTCCTGTGTTTGTTTGAGCCAACCACCACCACAACTTGCTTCCTTTCGCTGAGTTTTGTCACATGTGCTCCCCAGTTACGTGGGTTTTATATATATCCTCCTGAGATCCCAGCTTTTGTTTGGTGTGCACTTTCAGTTTCTCCGAGCTCCAAGCTGTCTGTGTAACAGTCACAATGTGAGTATTTTTAATTGACAGCATCTTAGCATGTTACTGTTGCTAAAACTGCTAAAAATATGTATGCAATATTAAACTACAGATGTTATTAAGCACAAGTAAACAAGTTTCAAATTCAAATTTGATCAGGTTTTGTATGTTGTCCTCTTTTCTGTCGGGATCGGCTGCAGACTAAGTCAAGCAGAATGAAGTATAAGGTGCATCTAACCCAAAATGTAATGTCCTCATATGAAGACGCAGGGTCTAAGGAGGATTACTTTTCATAGGTATAGGTACAAACAGTACATGAGAACAGTCTCCATTCCTACATGTGCACTGCATCACTGTGCTGTTCTTCTCTTATGTGGTTACATGTGTGTTCTTGTTTTCCGTTACCAGGGAAGAACCAGGTTTTGCGCCTAACTGACAGTTCAGTTCCTTTTATTGAACATGGAAGCAGAGGTGTGGTGGAGAGGTATTATCTTGCACAAAAACTGACCGTATATCTGCCCTTCAGCAGCTTAAACCCCTAAACAATTTCGAGTAAGTCGTTACACAGATCCACAATTTAATTTATAGGTTTTGGATTCTGATTCTATGCTCATAAGTAGTTGAAACCACCATGGATGGATTAATCTGTGAGGGTTCCTCGGGGCAAAAGATGAGCTGCTTGGCCTCTATTAACCCCCTGTGATAGTGTGTATAGTGTTCCCGTGCCTGACCCGAGGTTTACTGTTTGGTAATTCAATACGTTAAACAAATTAAACTCGACATCTGCAAAATGTAAGCACTATACTGAAATAATGAAGAACTACATTCTGACACAAGGACTCTCTTCAGGACAGGGCCTTAAGAAACTGGAGCACAGCCCTCCTCATGTTAGCTGATGTCCTGTGCTTTTCCTACTACGACAAGCCAACATGTCTGCAGTGAAAAAGGCCCACTGTAGCTGTCTTTGCTCCAGATTATCAATTTGTTGATTTAGAACAAACCCCTTTTCCCAATCCAGAGCAGAGTAAAATAAAAGCTTTATCACATCCTTCAAAGAAACACACATATGCGTGTCTACAGTGCTGCAACGTGCAATTACATGATGAGAATTTAAGCAGTGTCGATAAATCAAACAAACAAACATGAGTGTCATGCACTGAGAAAATTGCATGTGAAACCAGTTGAGCTGAGATGTGCATTGTTAACAAAAACAATTCTAGGCTGGACGTCTTGCAGGAAACCACGCACATGCAACACTGGTAGATCTACCTGCACAATAATTAGTGCTGCTCTGTGTTGTCCTACATATTTTAGCGGTTTGTACATGTGCATCACAGGTGCTCTGATTGTATAATACTTTGGCCAAAATCTTCATGGCTAATTGACATTGTCACTTGATAAAGGGATGGTTCGAAATTTTTGAAGTGGGGTTGTATAAGATACTTATCCATAGTCAGTGTGTTAGCCACAATAGATGGCAGTCAGCACGCCACCAGTTTGCAGAAAGAGGCAGGAGTACTGAATCAAAAGCTAAACGATGCAAACGTATTTTAGCCGTGCACCTAAAAATAACTGTATCTCTTTAAGTGTACAACATATGTAGAATATTTTCACAGCTCTACCTTGCCACAATTACTGACGGACGTCATCTATGCTCTCTTCAAAGCCAGACTCCATTGAGAAAAACAGTAATTTAACATCGCTGAACAGGAGATGCTGGTCTACTGCTGCCTCCATCAGTCAGTTTGTTTGTGTCGTGAGACTTTGGCGTTTAAGAGGGTTAGTTCAGATTCACCACAGTCACACCAGCAGCTCTGTTTTCAGTGAGCTAAAATCACTGTTTTTCTAAATAGAGTCTGGTGGCTTTGACGAAAGTATAGACAGGTAACTGAAGCTGCTAAGGGCCTCCCCATCACAACGGGCTGTGTGCAGCAAGGTAAAGCAGTGAAGTGATCTCAATATAGCGTACACTGTAAGGGCCGTTTCATAGTCGACGCAAAGGCAAGCAGACGCGAATGCATTGGGACGTATCGAGACACGTTGGCCACCATGATGCGTGCTTACATCTGAAAATGTGTTGCCAGCGGGGGATGATAATGCAAGCGACGCACTTTAAATTAACCACTTTTTGTTACTATAAAGTAACACTTTTAAATGCCAAAGTCACACAATAACGCAAACAAACTGGCTGAATGAGGCAGCGGTAGACCAGCAGCTGCTGTGGTCAGTTATGTTAAATTACTGTTTTTCTTAATGGAGTCTGGCTTTGAAGAGAGCAATATCACAGCTTTAGTTGCCCATTGGAAATCGCTGTCTGACTGCAGTGTAAAAGTATTTTAAATATAGCATACACTTATACCAATATTTATTTTTTTAGGTGGCTGAAATGCATTTTGCTGTTGCCTCTGCCCACAGCAGTACGTTGCTTAGCCTCTGTGGCAGTACACCTGTCTGCTTCTCCAAACTGGGAGCACACTGACAAACATCTCTTGTACGTAACACACTGATCACAGATAAGTACCTCATACAACCCCAGTCCAAAAGATCCCAACCATCCCTTTAAGTACAGTATGTGAGTAAATGCACTTAGTTACATGTCACCATTGCAACTAAAATGTGAGGCACCACACTGGCATGTTTCTGAATCTCTGAGTGACACCAGTGGAAGAAAGGAGAAGCAAGGCGTAACCAGATACACCCATGTCAGACAGAGTCTGTCATGTATCCTTCAGGCCCAACTCTTCTCTAAAACATGTATTTGAGTATTTAAAGAGCTGATTCTTACCGTCATGTTCCAGTTGATCAGTTCTCAGTCTTCTCTGCTTCACTACTCCGCTTGTTCCTTTAGTTACGAATCCAGTGTAGGAAATGGCTCAACAATTTGCGGTGCGTTTACATGCCTGTCCTCTCGTCAGGCCACAGATGCCATAGATGCCTGTCTCTCTGTGTCGTTCGGTCTCAATAGGCCTAAAGGTATGATTTCCCTGCGACGTCACAACAGAGAAAAGAATGTGTGGGTGGATCCCCTTCGTGCACAACTTCCATATAGACATAAACAACAAGTGGACAGAAGGAAAATAAAGATGTCAACACTGTCGTTCAGGCATCTACACCCACACACAAAGTCAACAATATCAGTTATGAGGATATTGCATTAAAAACTCTCCAGCTAATTCAGAATGCAGCAGCACGTGTACTAACAGGAACTAAGAAACGAGATCATATTTCTCCTGTTTTAGCTTCTCTGCACTGGCTCCCTGTAAAATCCAGAATTGAATTTAAAATCCTACTGTTAACTTATAAAGCTCTAAATGGTCAAGCTCCGTCATATCTTAGAGAGCTCATAGTGCCATATTATCCCACCAGAACACTGCGCTCTGAGAACGCAGGGTTACTCGTGGTCCCTAAAGTCTCCAAAAGTAGATCAGGAGCCAGAGCCTTCAGCTATCAGGCTCCTCTCCTGTGGAATCATCTTCCTGTTACGGTCCGGGAGGCAGACACCGTCTCCACATTTAAGACTAGACTTAAGACTTTCCTCTTTGATAAAGCTTATAGTTAGGGCTGGCTCAGGCTTGCCCTGTACCAGCCCCTAGTTAGGCTGACTTAGGCCTAGTCTGCCGGAGGACCCCCTATAATACACCGGGCTCCCTCTCTCTCCCTCTCTCTCTCTCTCTCTCTCTCTCTCTCTCTCTCTCTCTCTCTCACTCTCATCCTATTACTGCATCTTGCTAACTCGGCCATTCTGGATGTCACTAACTCGGCTTCTTCTCCGGAGCCTTTGTGCTCCACTGTCTCTCAGAATAACTCATACCGCAGCGGTGCCTGGACAGTGTGACGTGTGTGGTTGTGCTGCTGCCGTGGTCCTGCCAGATGCCTCCTGCTGCTGCTGCCATCATTAGTCATTAGTCATACTTCTACTGTTATTATACACATATGACTATTGTCACACAAGTATACTGTCTGATATTAATACATACTTTCAACATATTGTACCACAGTAGCCAGAACTATAACTATAATATTATTACTTTCATTAATGTTGTTGTAAGCTACTGTCATTACCTGCATCTCTCTCTCTCTCTCTCTCTCTCTCTCTCTCTCTCTCTCTCTCTCATTGTGTCATATGGATTACTGTTAATTTATTATGCTGATCTGTTCTGTACGACATCTATTGCACGTCTGTCCGTCCTGGAAGAGGGATCCCTCCTCAGTTGCTCTTCCTGAGGTTTCTACCGTTTTTTTTCCCCGTTAAAGGGTTTTTTTTTGGGGAGTTTTTCCTTATCCGCTGTGAGGGTCTTAAGGACAGAGGGATGTCGTATGCTGTAAAGCCCTGTGAGGCAAATTGTGATTTGTGATATTGGGCTTTATAAATAAAATTGAATTGAAAAAATTGAACTTACAGTCGTGCCCCGGAGGCTAACTCTAACCTTAACCATTACCACTACATGCCAAACACCAACCTGAACTCTAAACTAACACTAACCTTGACCAAACACCAAGTCTCAACCCTTAAGTTTAATGCTTCACCTTGTGCCTGACCAGCTTTTCTTACTGTCAAAACCTCAGTCTAATTGATAATGATGGATGATTGTGTGTTTGCCAGTCTTTATGTTTTCGTGTTTTCCGTGTTGGGGAATACAACCTGCTCGACAGGTCAGGTGAGTGGGTGTTGTGTGATCTTGTCTGCAAATGCTTTCACACTTTGTCATTGTCCTGTGTCAGAAAGGGCAGCTCGATGAGTGACGGATTGGGTGATTCATCCTGAGATTTTTTATGCTGTGGCTTGGAATTGAAACTCTCCTTTCATCATTCATAATTACATGTTACAATGAGTGCTTAAGAAAGTTATTCCAGACACTGACACCTCCTGTTTGATCTTTGAAGAATAGTCTGACATTTTGGGAAATGTGCTTATTTGCATTGTTGGCACCACCCTCATGTCTGTACGGTAAATATGAAGCTTTAGCCAGCAGACAGTTAGCTTAGCTTAGCTTAGCTTAGCTTAGCTTAGCTTAGCTTAGCTTAGCTTAGCTTAGCTTAGCACGGGAGTGTTTAAACATTTGTGAATGGGGGCCTGATTAGATGATGTGAAAATACCTGGGGGTCAGCTGCTTCTCACATCATATGGGTAACACTTTTAACAGAAATACAAACGGCTCCTGGAAGCAACAGCTGTTGCTCTTGACTTTATGCGTCTTTGCAGTAGCTATGTCTGCTACCTAGCAAGAAATGTGGTGTAAACTAATTGTTTGTTTGCTTGTTTACCATCTGTCTACAGCCCCTTTTACACTGCCTCCTCAAGGCAAGAATTTCACACCATTTTGCCGCCTTGCCATTTGGTATAAAACGTACAGTCCCAGAATGGGGGGTCAGAGTTGTCTCACCTTTAAGGTGGCAGCGAAGATTTGTAACAGCACCGAAATGATATCTGTATAAGTGGGAAGGGATCATGGGTAGGATGAGTGTGATTTTTTGACAACGGGTTGTGCGTGCGACCAACTGCGGGAGATTTAAAAAGTAGCTCTTAGCAGTTAGTGCTAACTCAATGAGATTCGGAAGCTCCTTACCCTCAGAGCAGAGGACCAGATCACCTAGAGTTGTCTTGCTTTGGTCTGAATCAGGGACTAATGTTGTTCCAAAGTTGTATAATTACCTAGAGTTGGTTCCTGTTCTCACGGCAGCATTTACAAGCGGACCAGATCAAATGCCTTGTGTGAGAAAGCTGCTCTTGATTGGTCAAAAATCCAGGAAGTAAAGCAAACGTTGAAGAAGAGTACACTTGCAAGATAAATGTGACACTTTCTAATGTCACAATGGAGGGACAACTACGCAGGTTGATTTTAGCGCTGCTCATCGTGGACTATATTGCTGTCATTGTTCATTTTAGTCAAACCATACAGTTTGAAAACGAGGCGCGGCTCCAACTAGAAAACAATGTTTTGATGCATTGGATGTGCTGAATGTGCATATTAAGGCAGTACAGGAGGAGGTGCACATTAATAATCCTCCAGGACTGTAACATGCTCATGTTTAACCCAAACAATGTGTCATGTGACTGCAGTTGCTTCACATCCAGGTCGGATCATGTTCTCACCACAAACCAACCGCACCAGAGTTTGTTTGTAACCGGACTGAGACCACCTCTTCAAGAAGGTCTCAGTCCGGTTGTTTTGGTGCACACCTGAGTGTGATTGCTGTGTTCACACCTGCCCAAACGAACCGCACTGAGGGGGCAAATGAACTTGAGTTTGATTGAACCGAGCAAAACAGGGCAGGTGTGAGGTGCAGGGACTTTATAGCAGCCCTATAGTGGGATTTCTGTGTGAAAGACTACAGACTTTGAGGTAGTTTTTGCATTTTCTTGTAGTTGTGTGGGTGTCTTTGAGATAATTGTGTGTCTTATATGGTTGTTTTGCCCATTTTGTAATTTGTCTTGTTGCAGTTCCTTTGCATCTCTTTTTTTGGTCTTTTTGTGTGTCTGCCTGGTTGGTCCGTGTTAATTTGACATTTGACATTTATTAGGCTTCCCAAATGCAAGTAATTCTTCACCAGAAGTACAACATTTGATTAAGCAGAGGCCAAAAACATACTGACATATATATGGCTACTAAACTTACTTACCTATACTTCAGTCTGTGTGTTTAGGTTTAGAGATTATCTGTAGAAAGGTATTCAGTAAACTGTATGAAGAATGTTATCTGTTAAATGTAGCTGGACTTTCAAACATTAACACAATATGACCTATCATTCATTCCACAGTCACAACAACTCGTGACCCTGTAGAGACCTCGGTGCACCGGTGTGTAATGCTGGATGATTGATATCCTCTTCCACCAATCAGAACACCGCACTGATTATTTCCCTCCAATCACCGAGATGCGTCACGAGGGAAACCGAGTAAATGCGGACATTGCCGAAGCGCTTTCATTTGGCTTTCTGCGTCAGCTGGAGCGGAGGTGTGTGTTGGAGCTCGTGTTAGTAACGGAAACAAGTTAAAAGTGTGTGTTATTCCTCCAGAGGACGGAGATGACACGGCTGAAGATGTTTTATCTCATCGGGGCGCTGCTGGTAACACAAAGCGCCGCCATCTTCAGGTAAATACTGTTTATCAGCTGATGTTGTGGCAGCTAGAGTCAAGCTGTATGTTCATCCTGTATCACTTCATATAGCAACAGATGTGCGCTCCAGTCAATGCAGGTTAATGTGAGCGCGCGCGTGCACTGGCTTCCTTGTTTCATGACGTCCCCACGTGCCTCCAATTAATGTTCAAACTGTAACCTGCAACAATGCTGCACCGAAACTTAAGTTTGGCTCAACATTTTGTACAGTTGCATAATTTGCATGAAAGTTTGTGCGAACATGAGGAAGCAGTCTTTTTGCGCACGCGCATGTTTGTACCCGTGATATTTAATTGATTAATGCTTAATTTCAGAGTCCCCCTTCATAAAACCAGAAGCCTCCGCCGCCTGATGAGTGATAACGGGATGTCTCTGGAGGATCTCCGGGCTTTGGCGCAGAGCAGCGGAGCACAGGACAGCTCTCCCTCCCCCAACGTGCCTGTAGAGAGGCTGACCAACTTCATGGATGTATGTACACATGCAGTATTAACCTCATAATGATAATTAAGCCATCCCCTCCCTCTGATGTTAACAGCAGCTCATTGAGGTTTATAGTGTGTGTGGGCAGCAGGGGCGTAAGCTATGGGAGGGACACGGTGGACATGTCCCCTGCACCTTTTAAGGGGGATTCAAACTTGTGCGTCAACTCTGTGCAGACCCTACGCCACTGTGAGCATTTATACTTGTGCGGTGGTGTGTCTGTGTCACTCTGCAGTTACACCTCCTACACTGGTCAGCAGCAGGTTTTCTGTGAATTGCTGTAAAGTTTAGTTTCAAAACACACATTAAACACACATTAAACATGGCTTAATAGAGACAGTTTCAAACACAAGTACACAAATCAGCTTCACTATAACTCGCAGCAT